TTTTTTTTTTTTTTTTTTGACAGAGTCACTCTGTTGCCCTGGGTAGAGTGCCATGGCATCATAGTTCACAGCAACCTCAGCCCTCTTGGGATTAAGCAAATTCTCTTGCCTCAGCCTCCTAAGTAGATGGAACTATAGGCACTCGCCACAATGCCCAGCCATTTTTAGAGATGGGGGCTCAAATTCGTGAAACTCAGGAGATCTGCCCACCTCCGCCTCTCAAAGTGCTGGGATTATAGGCGTGAGCCACCATGACCGGCCCTTTATTTTACTTTTAATTCGTTAGTCTTCCTGAATCTGTAACCTACAAAACTTTAACATGTTCTCTTTGAAAATATTTTTCTGGCTCAGCGCCTGTAGCTCAGCAGCTAGGACACCAGCCATGTACACCAGAGCTCGCGGGTTTGAATCCAGCCCCGGCCTGCCAAACAACAATGACAACTACAACCAAAAAATAGCCAGGCGTGGTGGTGGGCACCTGTAGTACCAGCTACTTGGGAGGCTAAGGCAAGAGAATTGCTTAGGAGTTTGAGGTTGCTGTGAGCTGTGACATTATGGCACTCTACGGAGGGTGACATAGTGAGATGCTGTCTCAAAAAAGAAAAGATAAAAGAAAGTATTTTTCTCAGGTGGTGCCTGTAGCTCAGTGGGTGGGGGCCAGCCATATACACCAAGGTTGACAGGTTCGAACTGGGTCTGAGCCAACTAAAACAATGACAATCGCAAGAACAAAATATACATATATATATATATCCCCCCCCCCATCTTAGCCTATTATCTTTTTGGACTTCAAGACTACACATTCACTCAGCATTTGGCATCTTAGTACTCCTTATTAAGTTACCCACCAATCAATGACATCTCTAAAGACTTTAAAACTTTAAAAAGTATGTTTCTAGCACTTATACTTTCTCTGGTGGGAGATGATGGTCAGAACACCCAGTCTGCTTCATTTCAGGAAAGTCAGGTAACTGCTGTCATTTTTGCTTTAAATCCAATTTAATAGGAATATACAAAATCCCGATTCTCTGCTCAATTCCTGCTCAATCCACTTCCATCTTGTGTGCTACCAGCTGTTTACCAAATACCATTTAATTGCTAAGGAAGTGGGAAACCACTGCCTATAATTAAGGTGGTTTACTAGTTAGATATTTTCTGTTGTCTTTACCTTTTCCAGTATGTGAGATCTAAAAAGGAAAAAACCGGTGTTCTATTAGAACCAGAAGCCATCTCTGTATCTGAGCCATCATCTGACTGGTTACTGTAACAAGGAGATTGAGCTGGGGAGGCACTTGAGGTGGTACTGTGAGCATCAGAATCTACAATAAAAATAAAAAAAAGAAACTTTCATTACACGTAACTAAAACTAAACCTCAGCATAAGACATTATGGAAGAACTCATAAAAAGGAAGTTAAAAAAATTATTTTCTAAGCACTTCTGATTATTTGTACTAAAGTGTATTGTAAAGAAAATTAAGACTTCCACTTCCAGGAAGATGGAGTAGACATATTTTTTCCCTCTCCTTCCTGCTTATACAACTAAAAACCCTGCATATTACATGTATAAAACAAACCAAAGACCTTGAAAGGTAATGACCATCCAGGAGCTTGAGATCCAAGGAAAGATGTGGTAAGTTTCTTAGTTCTTTTGAAATTTCTTTTTGCCTCAAAAAAGCTAGCCTTGGAGGTAAAGCAGCAGAAATCCAGAAATGCCAACAGCTACAGACAACCAAAAGACAAAAACCTAAAGTTCCAATAGTCTCTAGCCAAAAAGCCAGGATAAGGGAACCTTAGAAAAGAAGAAGAAAAACTTCTTTGGAGGCAGAGGCTTGCTCTGTTGTCCAGGTTAGACTGCAGTGGCATCACCATTGCTCACCCCAATATCAGTGACTCCTGGCTCAAGTGATCCTCCTGCCTTAGCCTCCCAAGTAGTCAGGACTATTGGTGCCAACCACAATACCCAGCTAATTTTTCTATTTTTAGTAGAGACAGGGTCTCACTTTTGCTCAGGCTGGCCTTAAACACCTGAGGCTCAAGGGAACCTCCTAGAGTGCTAGGATTATAGACAAAAGCCTAATTTTTGTTTTAAATCGTTCAGTGAAAAGTTTAACACATTTGTGAGCAACAGTAGCTAAAAACTTGTCTATTTTGGCAAAAGACGTAAACCTGAGATTTAAGGAGCTGAGCAAAACCCAAACAGGATAAACTCAAAGACACAGCATAATTAAACTTTTATCAAGTAAAGAACAAGGCCGAGCATAGTGGCTCACACCTCTAATACTAGCATTCTGGGAAGCCAAGATGGGTAGACTGTTTGAGCTCAGGAGTTTGAGAACAGCCTAGAGTGAGACCCCATCTCTAAAAAACAGCTGGGCATTGTGGCAGGCACCTGTAGCCCCAGCTATTTGGGAGGCTGAGGAAAGAGAATCGCTTAAACCCAGGAGTTGGAGGTTGCCGTGAGCTGTGATGCCACAGCACTCTATCCAGGGTGACAGCTTGAGGCTGTGTCTCAAAAAAAAAAGAAAAAAAGAAAGAAAGAAAGAAAGAAAAGAACTGAGATAATCATGTGTGTAAAGTGTTTTTTATATCTATCAAAATGCTCAAAAGATAAGTGAGTTCTGCCCCCCTCGCTCTATCCAAACAGTACAACAAACTGTGCATTGCTCTAAAACAAGAATGACAATCTTTTGTCTAACAGGTCCTACAGATTAAAAAAAATAATAATAAAAGAATAAAATCCTGGCTTGGTGCCTGTAGCTCAAGCAGAGCTAAGGCACCAGCCACATACACAGAGCGAATCCAGCCCAGGCCTGGCAAACAACGACAACTACAACCAAAAAATAGCCAGGCGTTGTGGCAGGCACCTATAGTCCCAACTACTTGGGAGGCTGAGGCAAGATAATTGCTTGAGCCCAGGAGTTGGAGCTGTGAGCTGTGATACCACAGCACTCCACCCAGGGCGACCACTTGAGGCTCTCTCAAAAAGAAAAAAAAATATATCCTGAGTGCTCTAATATAAGCCCACAATTCTGAGAAAGCTGTGAAATACAAACTTTTATTTCTAATCTCTTTGGCCACAAAATCTAGCATTACCTGAATTATGCTTATGAGTAGACAAACCTGACCAGCCTACTCTTAGTCCTTTTATCCCACTGAATGTGAATATTCCCACACTTTTGTTATAGAAATACTAATGTGTTTGATTCATCAGTACTGTATCAGACACCCCAAGGGTGATATAGATGTTATACGACATCATACGTGGTATATTTCCTTTTCAAAATCTGAAATACAGGCCAGGCGCAGTGGCTTGTTTCTGTAATTCTAGAACCCTGGGACACCGAAGTGGAAGGAATGCTTGAGCTCAGGAGTTCAAGAACAGCCTGAGCAAGAGCAAGAGCCAGTGCCTGCAGTCCCAATTTCTTTCCTATTCTATCATCCCACACAAAACACACAACTCTTTAAACTTGGAAGGCTTGGCGCCCATAGCACAGTGGTTACGGCGCCAGCCACATACACTTAAGTTGGTGGGTTCGAACCCAGTCCAGGACTACTAACCAACAATGACAACTGCAACAATAATAAAAAATAGCTGGGCGTTGTGGC